AACTTTCTTGTTCTCAATGCAAACAAGACAGAGACCCTGATCGCTGCACCCCCGGAACTTCAACCAAAAATCGAGCAGGAAATTGCCTCCTTTTGCCCATCAGCCAAGGCCAACATTAGAAACCTGGGAGTTATTTTTGATCCCGTTTTAAGTTTAGACTCACACGTCAAAACCATCTCCTGCTCTTGTTTCTTTCAACTGAGAAACATTTGAAAAGTTTGTAAACTGGTTTCAACTGTACAGATTTGGAAAAAATAATCCATGCCTTTGTGTCATCACGCTTAGACTACTGTAACGCTCTTTTTACTGGTCTCAGCAAAACCTCCCTCTCACGCCTTCAAGGCTTCCAAAATGCAGCAGCCAGACTCCTAACCAAATCCAGCAGATGAGCTCACATCACTCCAGTTTTACAGTCCCTCCACTGGCTCCCGGTAGAATATAGAATACACTTTAAAGTATTAGTGCTGACCTATAGAGCTCTTAACCAGGCTCCAAGCTACCTATCTGAGCTTTTATCCCCACACACCACTTCACGGAACCTTCGATCCACATCTGAAAACCTCCTGGCTGTTCCTCGAACCAGACTGAAAACCAAAGGGGACAGGGCCTTTCAGACTATTGCTGTTACAGCTGCTTTTTTTAATAAAACCTTTGCAAATACAAGGACACTTTGAGTTTGGTTTTGCTTGGTCAAGCCTTTTTCTCCCAATAAGGGTCACTTTTAGTTAAACTGGTCCATTTTATGTTTATTCCTCTCTCCTTCCTAGCTGAGCCCACAGAGGGGTATAACAATTGCCCCCAGACTTTGGAAAAGTCTGCCTTCAAATCTCCGTCTCTCTAACACTGTAAAGGTCTTCAAAAAACATTTAAAAACTCACCTTTTCATCCAGGCGTTCCCCCGCTAAATATTCTAAAAGATGGCTTTGTCCTTGTTCACACCTTGACTTTGTTTTTACTCCTGATTTTATTTACTATTTTATCACTGCTATTGTTTTTATGATGTTTTTATCGGTTTGAGGTATTTGCCCTGATTTCACTCATGTTGTACAGTACTTTGTGATTTATATCTGCGAAAGGCCCTCTATAAATAAACTTTTACTTACTTACTTACTTACTTACCAAATGGTCGAGAATTCCACCAAAATGACCAGAAGTTAACTTTTAACTTACAGGTCAAGCATCTTCCTACAGGTCAGTCTGACACTGGTGCCGATAGGAAGTCGATGAACTTGCCCTGATATCCTTAACTTATTCTGCGGTACTTCTTATCTATCCTCTTTGAATAAAGTTTTTCTTCCCAGCTCATAAAATACTTTATAAGTTTATATAATCAGATTTTGTTGAATGGACAACATGTTTAAATCCAAAGTGTTTTAATAACGTGTCTAATACTGTACATTAATGAATGATGAGTTAACAAGAATATTATTCCTGTATTGATTTATTTCAGACCTTAAATTACACCAAATTAGTAATTGTTGAATTTAATGTTAATCTATCAGTATATCCACACATCATAATATTAATGTTTAACATTTACTTCACAGTAATGTTTAATAAGATCTTACTTCACTAAGAAATCACCTCTGTGTCTGAATGAATGAGGGATGTCTGGGGTATTTTGGTAACGCCTTTAAACTTATTCTGGTTTGTCTAAATGTGTAAACTAGTTAATAAACTAGTTAATAAAGCCTAGCTCACTTCTTGGACTGACCAGTTCTCAGCCAGCTTACTTGGTTAGGCCGACCGGGTTAGCAAAGCACTTGGAACCGACCTCTTTTTTGGCTCGAGGTCAAAGCCACTCTGCAGCATTTGCGAGTGTATCAGACGCATCAACTCATCAGACATGGAACGTATAACCAGGAGAACCTGGTAGCAACTCATGGCCGGTGATAATTGAATTCAAAGGGAACTACAACTCTGAGATTCCAGAAGCCACTACATCTGGTGACATCACCACTCTGGCTGCCTTTCCTCCGGACCGCCGAGAGCTGCCTTCACACATAGATTTCGTTGATCTGCACACTGGTGTGGGATGGGTTTATGAATAATCTCTAGCTTGTTTAACCACAGTCAGACTGATTTTACAACCTAGACATCACAAATTTCTCAGATGCTTAACAAGGTTTTGCTACATAACATCTAAGCTTACATCCATCATTCCATTCATTGTCTGTTATCTTGTCCAACCACCACTCATCATACTTTGTCATGTAGGATCATCAGTTTAGAAATATAGAGTTAAATTCATTTTTATAACTATATCCTGACTGTCTGAATTAATAAGAAGTGTGTTTCCTGAATAGTTCAGAGAACCTAAAAGTAACAATAAATCAAACATTCAAAGACCAATCAGATTGATGATTCATATTTATATGAATATCACATCTTATTGATCATTTAATAAGTGTAACTACTTCCATCACGTTACAGGTAGAAGTAACCCCTTCGACAGGAAATCGGTTATTTTTGGTTATCCGTGTTCCAACATGGCACTGATTCCTGAGAACTCATCCATTTATTCTTCAGCTCTCAAACATTTGCTCAGACCCTAGCAGGTTAGCATCAAGCGTGTGATGCTGCTTCCTGCAGACAGAATAAACAATGAATGTTAGATTGATGGCCTAAACTGTTCTTGTGAGTAACATCCTTTATTTGTGATTACTAATGGCAGTTTCACATCTGGGCCAGCATGGACCAGACTGGGTAGCTTTTAAAATGTTCACATCTAGGAAGCCTTGGTCGGTTTTTCAGCCCACATCCCAAGGTGGTCTCTTACAAGCTTAACTGGTCCAACTTACCCACTGTCAGCTGATTGTCCGGCTCAAATTCATGCCTATCGTTAGGGGGAGCCTCCGATTGGTAGATGGAATCAACCAACGGGAGCTCCATCATCAAATCATGATGCGGATACCGATAAGTAAAGGTCGCCTCTGACTGAAGCTGCAGCTCTCTCTCTCCTCGTTGCTGTGAGGAGTACACACACACACACACACACACACACACACACACACACACACACACACACACACACACACAGAGACAGCGCTGCCGTGATAAGCTGCATAGCACGAGGACAGACGCTGCAGTCTGGATGCAATATCAGATTCAGTGTGTCCAAAAGCAATACTGCTCACTGCCGCCTTTGTTCAAGGACGTGCTCGGAGATTTCTCCGTTCCTGAGAAGTGTGTGTGAACCAACCCTACCGACCCCACCCAGCTTGGTTCGTGGTGGCCCAGATGTGAAACTGAACTTTTAAATAATTTCTTGTCAGTTTTCCAGGTTGTGTTTTAGTTTAAAGGACCAGAATAATAATTAATGTATTCTTTATTTAACCAGGAAGGTCCAATTTAAATTAAAAGCCTCGTTTTCAAGGGAGTGCTGGCCAAGAGGCAGCAGAAGTTACAGTTACTAAATGTTTCAGTTACACAGACGTGTTATGTACTAAATCACAGAAGGCAGTTACAACACAGGTAATTATATTTTAGTATAATTAATTCATTTTATAATGTACACTCGCCTAAAGAATTATCCGGAACACCACCCTAATACGGTGTTTGACCCCCTTTAGCCTTCAGAACTGCCTTAATTCTACGTGGCGTTGATACAACAAAGTGCTGAAAGCATTCTTTAGAAATGTCAGCCCATATTGATAGGATAGCTTCTTGCAGTTGATGGAGATGTGTGGGATGCACATCCAGGGCACGAAGCTCCTGTTCCACCACATCCCAAAGATGCTCTATCTAGTTGAGATCTGGTGACTGTGGGGGCCATTGTAGTACAGTGAACTCATCGTCATGTTCAAGAAACCAGTTTGAAATGATTGGAGCTTTATGACATGGTGCATTATCCTGCTGGAAGTAGCCATCATAAGATGGGCACATGGTGGTCATGAAGGTATGGACATGGTCAGAAACAATGCTCAGGTAGCCCGTGGCATTTAAACCATGCCCAGTTGGCACTAAGGGGCCTTAAGTGTGCCAAGAAAACATCTCAAACACCATGACACCACCACCACCAGCCTGCACAGTGGTAACAAGGCATGATGGATTCATGTTCTCATTCTGTTTATGCCAAATCCTGACTCTACCATTTAAATGATTCATCAGACCAGGCAACATTTTTCCACTCTTCAACTGTCCATTGTTGGTGAACTCGTGCTAATTGTAGCCTCTTTTTCCTATTTGTAGTGGAGATGAGTGGAACCCGGTGGGGTCTTCAGCTGCTGTAGCCTATCCGCCTCAAGGTTGTGCGTGTTGTGGCTTCACAAATGCTTTGCTGCATTCCTCGGTTGTAACGAGTGCTTATTTCAGTCAAAGTTGCTCATCTGTCAGCTTGAATCAGTCGGCCCATTCTCCTCTGACCTCTAGCATCAACAAGGCATTTTCTCCCACAGGACTGCCGCATACTGGATGTTTTTCCCATTTCACACCATTCTTTGTAAACCCTAGAAATGGTTGTGGGTGAAAATCCCAGTAACTGAGCAGATTGTGAAATAGTCAGACCGGCCCGTCTGGCACCACCAACCATGCCACGCTCTAAATAGCTTAAATCACCTTTCTTTCCCATTCTGACCTTGAGTTTGGAGTTCAGGAGATTGTCTTGACCAGAATCACACCCCTAAATGCATTGAGGTAACTGCCCTGTGATTGGTTGATTAGATAATTGCATAAAGGAGAAGCTGAACAGGTGTTCCTAGTAATCCTGTAGGTGAATATATTATAGAGCCACTTCTTCTGGACGTGTACAGAAAAATGTTGAGGTCAAAATAAAATAATTATTCCATAAAAATGTTAGTCTGGTCACTCTGACTCAATCTGTTTAATAATAACGCATCAGAACCTAAGGTGCTTTAACCTGAAATTTCCACTTTAAATTTAGAAATGTGTCAAAACTCCATAAAGCCTCCTGTTATTAAACCTTCTTTCAGTTTCAAAGTCAAGATTTCATCACTAATACTTAAATAAAAATCATCACTGACTTTCTGTTGTCCTCCCAGCTGCTGTCATGGGCCCCGTGGCGGAGGAGGGGCCCCTCGCGCAGCTCCACCACACGGCCCATCGGCGGGACAAACGCTGCTCCTGTGAGAACCAGAAAGACAAGGAGTGCATCTTCTTCTGTCACATCGGCATCGTGTGGGTCAACTCCCCCAGGTGAGACGTGATGAGTTTCAGGTGTACTGGGGCTTCTGGGTAAAGCGATGATGAAGAGGAGACATGGAGGATTGGAGGCTTCTGACAGCAGCTCTGGTCTAAAACTCAGATAAACATTCAGGTCAGGAGAGTTCACAGGATTTAACACTTAACACATATCTGACTGTTTCCTTGGAGCAAAAATCAAAGCAGTCTTTCTGCTTTTACCAGTTTGGGGTGGTCCAGAACTTTGTGTTTGATTTTTTGAAAATATTTAGACTATAGAGGTCGTGATGATGTCATTGGGTTAGGATCCTCAGACTAGACACGATGAATGAGGAGATGCTTCATGGGAGTTAGCATTAGTTTTTCCCAAGAACCAGGAAGTGGATCTTAGATCAGCTGTTGGTCTGGTCTGGTCTGGGGTGCAGTTACTGGATGGGTTTTGTATAACTTCTGTTTCTGTATAATAAGGGACTCCAGAAATTTTTGGAATGACCTTTGACCTTTCCCAGATTGATAGGCAGCAGTTGCTTCCTGGAGGTCACTGCTGATGTGCTAACACACACATGTATGCTCCAGAGAACTGCTCTTCTGGAGGAGCTCACACAGCTCCAGCGGAGAAGACCTGTTGAGTTCATATTCTAATTAGTTTTCTGTCTAATGGGAAACAGGCGCGCTGCTTCCTTCACAATTGTTAGCAATTAACTTCATTTTAGTTCAGTGTGCACAAGCACTGAGTGAACAGTCAGATGTGGTGCACGTAATAAGAAAGCACGTTCTCCCTAAAGACGGGTAACTCCTTCTGATGCTTAGAAATAGCTCGGTATAATCGTTTATGGACGCCGCGGCGAGGAGGCGTTCTGGGCTTACAGTCATTATGGTCGGACGCCATTAACCCCTCGCAGGCTGCTCCTCATTAGCAGCAGGCAGACGGGAAACGGGTCAGTCAGCGTTTCAGCTTCAACGCAAAAAAAAAACAGGAGTAGAAATAAAATCTATTAAATTATTAAATTAATTCAGTTTGACATGAAAAATAAAATTTACTGATAACATCAGATTTTAGAAAGACTCTTCAGTTAAAGAGGGACTGCACTCCATCAGAGAACTAACTCCTCCCCTAGGCAAGATTTGAAAAATGCTATGAAAGTGGGCGTTGCCAGGAGGCCGGGAGGGGCGTGGCCAAATGTGGGGAAATATTGATTCAGGACTTGGTATCAGCAGGTTCTTGAAATCAAACGACTCAAAATTAGATCGGGAGCAGAAAAATGTGATCGGGACATCCCTAGTCCCTGGTGAACAAATCGGTCCCTGGAGAACAGATTGGTCCCTGGAGAATGGATCCTTCCCAGGAGAACGGATCGGTTCCAGGAGAATGGATCATCTCAGGAGAAGAAATCAGACCCTGAAAAACGGATGGGTCAGAGGCCACCAGACCACTGACTTGATAATAGAAACAGTGGAAAGGGGCAGACAGGAAAAAAGTCATGTTTCATCTCCAGCTGTGCCTTAGATACCAGATCCACATGTTCTGCTGTTTCACTGAGCAGACACTCTGAATTTGGGCCAGAGATGCTTTTAATAAGTTAGAGAGTCTGGAGATGCTGCTGTGATGGGTCGGTACTGCGTAGATCCACAAATACCAGTTCACCAGTCCACCTGAGTCCTGCTGGGACCAACTGCTGAAAACCAGTTCCCAGTAAAACCAAAGAATTAGCGGATCTCTGGAAAATTACTTCTTACAGCTCGTAATTTGTTTACATGTCTCGCTGAAAGATCGGAACGGGTCACCAGAACCCCAGACATGTATGAACCATACTTACGAACAGATCTGTGCGTAAACTAACGTACATATTGTGTTGTACCTGTGTGTGTAAATGTTCCTAAATGATTTTACCCAATAAGTAGTTATTTTGATGAAAAAAACACGTGCCACATAGTTTGTGCTAAGACACCCAGCAAAAATCTGACACCATAGAGAGGATTTTGTGTTTTTTGTAATCACGATATTTACTCTTCCCATATTTATGATGTTTTAACAGTTTTTAATTAATTAATATTATTGTGAGGCACCTTGTGATCTTGCTTGAGATGTGCTAGATCTTTTGACTCTGTTGATCACAGCACTTTCATTAACAGACTTGGTGACCCGGTGGGGATCTCTGGAACTGTTCTAGGCTGGTTTAGATCGTACCTTTCTAACAGAAGTTACAGTGTCTGTAGAAACCAAATCGTGTCAGATTCTACTGATCTGTTCTGTGGGGTACCCCAAGGCTCTGTTTTGGGTCCACTGTTGTTTCTGCTGTACATACACCCTCTTGGACAGATGACTGATTCTTTTCATAATGTCTCTTATCGCCTATATGCAGATGACATCCAGCTGTACTGCTCCTTTAAGGATTCTGAGTTCTATAAACTGTCTGAATTACTAGAGTGTATCAGCTATCACCAGCGGGCTAGAAGATCCTTCAGTTAAACTCTGAAAAGACCGAATGTCTGATCATTGCCCCTGAAAGCATGGTTCCCCTGATTAGTCTAAAACTTGGTCATTTATCTTCTGCCGTCAAGACAAACTTAAGGAATTTGGGTGTTTTTGACTAATCAATGTCTCTTGAAGGTCACTCAAAAACATTGGTCCTAAACTGTTTTTATCACTTAAGAAATATCTCCAAACTGCGAAGGTAGGTGTTCAAACATGAACCTGAAATGGTTCTCCATGCCTTTATGTCCTCCCGTCTAGATTACTGTAACACACTCTTCACATGTTTTAACAAAAAAGCCCTTGACCGCCTTCAATTGGTCCAGAACTCTGCAGCGAGGCTCCTAACTGGAGCAAACAGAACAGCACACATCACTCCTATTCTGATGTCTCTGCACTGGTTACCCGTTAACTTTAGAGTTCATTTTAGAGTCCTGACTAGAACTTTCAGGGCTCTACATGGTCAAGCTCCTCCCTATATTACTGACCTGTTAAAGCCTTATGCTCCAACCCGAGTCCTCAGGTCCACCCACCAGAACCTTCTAGAAGTTCCAAAGACCAGATATAAAAGTCGAGGTGATCGCTCCTTCCAGACTGTTGCACCCCGACTCTGGAATGATCTTCCTTTATCCTTACGCGGCATTGACAGTCTGGACACTTTTAAAACAGCTGAAGACCCTTTTATTTAAAGCTGCTTTTAACCAAATCTTTTATTTTATTATTTTTAACTCAAATTTGTAATCATCTTTCATCTGTTTTATGGTATTTTATAATTTTATGACTTTATATTTCTGATGTTAATCTATTTCTGTTTGGAGATCATTATGTTTTGTTTTGATCTAAGTGAAGCACTTAGGGACTATGTCTGTGATAAGTGCTGTATAAATAACATTTACTTCCCAGATAAAAGATTGTTCCTTATTAATGGGGGCGACGATGGCACAGGAGTTAAGTGCTCGCCCCGTAATCGGAAGGTTGCAGGTTCGAGCCCCGCTCAGTCTGTCGCTGTTGTTGTGTCCTTGGACAAGACACTTAACCCACGTTGCCTGCTGGTGGTGGTCGGAGGGACCGGTGGCGCCAGTGCTCGGCAGCCTCGCCTCTGTCAGTGCGCCCCAGGGCAGCTGTGGCTACATTGTAGTTCATCCCCACCAGTGTGTGAATGTGTGTGTGAATGGATGAATGACTGATTGTGTTGTAAAGCGCCTTGGGGGGTTCCAGGACTCTAGAAGGCGCTGTATCAAATACAGGTCATTTACCATTTAATAATAATAATAATAACAATAAGGATTTGTCAGAGCATGCTCTCTGGAATAAATGCGTTTCCATGACTTTTTATCATTTGTACGAACACAATTCGATCTCAGGAAGGAATTTAGGAACATTTCTACTAACGTTTGATAAATGACGTCCTGGTCTCAGAACTGGACCACTCAGGAACCAGAGAACGGGTAAGGAAGTCCTCTAAGGTTCTGACAAATGAGTTGGTGACGAAACCGGGACACCAACCAGGTTGTCAGGTTGATGTTTTTCCTTCATGTGCTTCTTGTGAGCAGATGAACCAGCATGACCTTTGACTCCTGAATGTCTCTTTCAGCCACGTGGTTCCGTATGGGTTTGGATCGGTGCGGGTCAGGAGGGATCTGCAGCGCTGCTCCTGCTCACAGTCACAGGATGTCCAGTGTCTGACGTTCTGCTTCGGGAACATGCAGCTGTGAGCTCACACACACACACACACACACACACACACACACACACACACACAAACACACACGGACACACACACACACACAAACACACACGGACACACACTCACTTATACACACACACTGGGTCCTTTAACAGATCTGTGGTTGTCCCTCAGGAACGACGATCTGAAACCGAAGAAGGACAAACTGAAGACGTACAGCGATGCATTCTGGGACAAGAGGAGCCGACACGCTCTGAAATACCAGACCTGAGCTGAACTGGACCGGTACCAGTGGTGTTAGCGGTACCAGCTCCTCAGAAACAAAGTATTTAATGTATCTAGAATGCAAATATTGGACCTTTGATCGTGTGTGACGGTGGTTCTGCTCGTGTTTGTTTGGACCTGACATTAGAACAGAACCAGCTGGAGGTTCTTTAGTCTCCAACCTTTGTGACCCAAACATCAGCTGATGAAGCTCATGCTGCATTATAGAGATTCAGAACCAGAACAGCTGTTTCTGATCCGTTCTGGTACCGGATCCAAAAGGAGAGGGACAGCTAGCACTACAACCAGGACAGAGGGAGACTACGGTGCCCTAGAAGGGACAAAATCCACCCTGGAACTTCTGATTCTGGTACCACCGGTACTGGTGAGGACTGGACCTCTTAGGCAGATGGAGTTTGTCCCCTCCTGGACACCGTAGGATGAAAACATTCATCTGGAGTTTAGAGACGAGTTTGTGGACTTAAAACAGTTTCTGTTCTCTAAAAGTCCAGAAAGGTTTCTGAGATTCGGTCCCAGAAACAGGAAGTGGTCTTCTGCGTCAAACTTTTTAATGTGATCAGAACCAGAACCGACCCAGACCTGTCTGCTCCTTTTGTTTGACCCTCAGTTTGTCACATGGAATCATCTTTTATGTTTCAGTTCAGCTTTGATGAAAACGGGATTTGACCCTTCCCCTGAGTTCCTGACCTCGAACGTTTTCCTTTCCGAGTTTTTGGAGTTTTAACCTGTTGGAAGAAAACTTTAACTCTTGAATTTTGCCCGCTTAAGTGGAGTTTAATGATGTTATTACCCGCTTAAGTGGAGTTTAATGATGTTTTGAGCTGAAGCTGACTGATGTCTAGAGGCTGAAGCTGGATTTCACTCATTTAGAAAAAATAAGTTTCTTTTGGAAACTTAAAATTCCTGGATAAAGATCCTCCTGGAGGTCTTAAGGTTACGTTTGCTTCTGTAGTCTTCATCCAGAACCAAAAACACCCCTTTATTCCCTACAGTCTGGTCTTCTCGTCCGACGCTGTCGGTTTGATTGTTGTGAGTTTGCTAAATCTGGTTTATCTGTTTGTTGTGTTTTATGATTAGAGAGACATATTCTGATTCTCACGGTAAACGGTTTGTTGTGTTTAGTAACCAGGTGGATCTGCATTTCCCTGAACAGAGGCTGACACTTCCTTCATGAATAATTAACTTTTGTACAGAAAGGCCTTGGGCCTTTCATGCATGCAGCCTGTAAATAAAGTATTTATTTCTTCATGTCTTCATGCTGTTGTTACTGAAGAGGACATTTGACCTTTGACCCCTGAGGAGCTGAAGTCACCCAGACTTCTTGTGGTTCTGGTCCGGGTACTGGACCTGACCAGTGCTGCTGGTGGAGCTCAACACTCACTGAGTTTTAACCTTCTCAGTGTCTTCAGAACCGTGAAGTGGACCAGAGAGGAGACCTGATGGGGGGTGGACCCCACAAGTTCTGACCCAGTTCATGGACCGGGTGTCAGGTCCTGGGGGCATCTGCTTTGGGAACCTCTGGGTTCTTAGCTCTTTACAGATTATGTTCATCAGATCGTGACAATCAGTGTCTCTGGGCTTGGTTCAGAACTGGGTTCTGGTTCTGGGGGACTGAGTCCTCCAGATTGGGATTGAACAGGCGAGTTCTGTGAGAGGAATCTGCTGCTGTGGTGGTCCTGATCAGGGTCCTCCTGGTCTCCTCCCTCTGGAGATGTTCTGATCCCAGGTCAGAACCAGACTTCTCAGGATCTTCCTAAAGGAACTGGAGACCTGGGGTTCTCCCAGACCTGCATCCCTGTCCTCCAGCCCTCCTGTCCTGTGAAGGTGGGTCCCTCTGACCCAGCCTGGGACCATCACCTCTGCAGGTGCTTGGGTCAATCAGCTGATTGGGTGTGACATCATCATCTTGTCTTTATCTCATGAATCTGGTTTTCTATCATCACAGCTACATCAACACGAAGGATCGGGAGCTAAATACGTCAATTCCCTTGAGCAAGGCATTAACGATGATTTGGCTCCAGCAGAGGGCGCTAAAGGCCCATCTGTCTGTTTGGGTCCAGAACCCACTCCAGTTCTGGTCCAGTTGGGTCATCCTGCCGACCAGCACCGTCACAGGTTCTGACTTTTGATTTGTTTTAACTTCAGATTATTACTTTAATGGATTAAATTATTTTATTTTTATTTATTTATTAGGATTTTTATAGAGATCTGGGTTAAAGGTCACTTCAGGGGTCATGACCTTTAGTCTTTATTAGGCCCCAACAGTCTGCTTTAGGTGTCATACCTTCATCATTCCTCTGGTTTCGGTCTGTGAGCTCCATCTAGTGGAGGTTCTGCTGAACTGGATCAGGTCAGACCGGTTCTGGTGTCAGCTGGTCGGGATTCTGAAGCTATGAGGATGTGATCCTGTCTGAAGTCGGATTCACAAGAAGACCTGGACTGATGAAGACGAGGAGGTTTTCTCCAGGAGGAGGAACGAGTGTCTGAACCAACCTGAGGGGAGCTCATTGGGTCAGAACCAAACATCTGGATTGTTCGCTTTAATGACAGTAGATCCAGATGTTTTCTGAATGTTTGCTCAACACATAATTTTAAACAGAGTTTTAGGAAGAAAAGAAATCAGAAAAAGATCAAAGTAAGAAAAGTTTGATTTTAGATAAAAACTCTGAAATCGGCCGAGGGAGAAACGTAACCTCGGTTTTACTAAAAGTAGTCAAATAGTTTCAAAAAGGACCAACACACAAAAGAGTTAATTCATTTATGAAGAAAAACAAAACTAAAACAGAGAAGAACCGAAGTGGACCTTTGACCCTCAGGTTTTTCATCATAAGTCGGTTTTAGACATTTATTGCAAAACAAAACATTAAATTGTGATTTAAATATACAAAAAAAAACTTTTTTATAACAGAGAAAACTGATTTCATAAACAACTTTTAAGTAAATAAAATTGTAAAACTTTCATTTTCAATTACTTTTTCTCTAAAAACATTAAATGCTTCTTTTAGGTTTGACTTTTAAAGTGATAAAAATGATATTTTTGATCCTATTTAGTGGATTAAATGAGGGATGAAGCTGGGTCAAAGGTCACACCAGGATTCCTGACATCATTTAGCAGGTGAACCTGAAACCATCAGAGGAACCGCTGAAGAACCCGTCAGACTTTGACAGGTTTAACAACCATAAAGCAACAGATCGCTGCAGGAAGGTCTGCTGGACCTCAGAACCAGAACCAGAGACCCACTCAGCTGTCCCCTGGAACATTCCTCCTGGACGTCCAGACACTTATGCTAGACTGCTTTTTGTGTATTTTAGCTCAGCATTTTACACCATCCTCCCAGAAATCCTGAGGAAGAAAATGTTAGGGCTGAATGTCGACCCCCTCGTGTGTGATTAGATCAAAGACTTTCTCACAAATCGCCAACAGGCAGTCAGAGTCGGTCAGTGCTATTCAGGCTCCCTGCAGCGCTGTGGGCCGAGTCCCCTCTTGTACACCCTGTACACCTCAGACTGCCGGTCCATACACCCCCAAAATTCCATCATCAAATTTGCCGGCGATACCGCGGTGGTGGGTTTGATTAGGGCGGGGGTGAGTCCGCTTACAGGGTAGAAATGCAGGCACAGGCGAGATGGTGTACTCTCAATAACCTGTCTCTAATACAATGAAGACCAAAGAAAATGAGCGTGGACTTCAGGAAGGGCAAGAGGGATCGTGCTCCTCTGGCAGTTAAGGGGGCATGGGCGGAGCGGGTCGTTCAAGTTCCTGGGGATGCACCTTCAAGAGGACCTGAAGTGGACAACAAATACCTCAGCCTCAGAGACTTTATTGGGCCATTCCCATCTGTACCGGGTCAGCCCGGGCCGGGTAGCGTAGGTTGTTTACAGATCTGGGTGGCCTGGTATTTTTCCGGGCCAACCAAGGCTCATTCTCAGCCCTCTTCTCGAGGGGGTCTGCTTCAGGCTGACCAGGGCCAACACGCCCACTGCTGACAGCAAATTCACACCTTCCATTAGAGCAAGCCTCTGATTGGTGGGTAGAATCAGCCCACATGGGCTTAAGGCAAGGATGTGTGGAATCAACCGGGCCAGGCTGGGGCCGACTGGGGCTACCCGGCCCAGGCCGACCCGGTACAGATGGGAATGGCCCATATGTCCCAGGGGGTTAGAGGAGGAACCATGTTCAGGAGAGGCTGTTGGTGTCCTTTTACAGGGCAGCCATTGAATCCATGCTGGTTTATTCCATCCCTGTGTGGGTCATTGCCTGCTCAGCAGCAGACAACAAGGCTCTGCAGAGGGTTATTAGATCATTGGCTCCCCCCTGCTCACCCTGGAGAGCATCGCCAGCTCCAGAGGTCTAAGTAGAGCAACTCTTCTCATCCAGGACACCGGCTATCACAACTGCTTCCATCAGGGAGATGCTTCAGGTCCCTGAGGTGCAGACTACAGCTTTGACCCGTGGGCAGTGAGAATCCTAAATGGCTCCCTTTGATCACAGGAAGGGCCTTTTCTATTATGTTTCTTTTTAAGGGAAGGACTTTGCTACACCCCCCTACTGACTGTTTATGGTTGGTACTTTTTATTTTTTATCAAAAATGTTTGTTTTTTTACCTTGTTTTATGAACATCGTCGTTCTGTTTTCAAGGAAGCTGTTTTGATCTGTGGCTTTCACGTATGTTGATGTTTATTGGCACTGTGTCAGATGAGGCCTACGTAATCTTGTCATAATGACAATAAAGAATAAAGAATTTAATTCTGTTAGTTGTGTTATTTTTCTGTTTGCAGCTGAAATGAATGAAAACTGAAAATTTTCTGATGCATCTTCAGATTCTGATCTTCTCCAAGAGAAGGTGCTGTTGTTGAGGGTCTGATAATCAGCCTTTCTCCTAAGAAATTACTGTTCCTAAAATGTTCTAATCGTTGCATTATTTGGGTTGGGTTAGGGTTTGTGTCTGAAATAAAATACATGTCTCGTTTCTTTGGTGTAATTAATTAAGTAATTGATAAATTCTCAATGAAATTAGATTTCATCACATACATTTTCATGGTCACTGGTTTTGAAAGAAGTTTCTCACACTTCCGGTACTTTATTTTGTATAGCAGTTCGGGTGTGAAGTACTTCCGGGTTAGAGTGTAACCAACAGGCGGCAGAGCTTTGCATTAGCCAAGTGCCAGAAAGTTTGTTGTCGGTCCTTCGTCTTATGTTCCGTTGGCTCTGGTTCTGATTCGGACCGGAGGAGCGGGCCATAACGATGGAGAAGTGTATGGTTTCTGGGTGTCCGAACCGTGCGAGCCTAAATAACCGGGCTGTGCTGAACCGACCACCGAAGAGGTTCTTTAAGTTCCCCAAAGACCCGGCCCGTGTAAAGGTACCGACTCCAGGGAGTAGTCCGCCCTAGAAGTTATCCTTTGTCTTTGTTTTGCTGCAGTGTACTTCCCGGAAGGTAGTTTTTATAAACGTTGCTGGAAAACTCGTGTTTTATGAAAATGTGTTTCCAGGTTAAACATGAAACCCGCAGAGCGCCCGAGCCTCACAGCAGAGGCGCTCTTAGATATTTAAGGCCCAAGTCGAAACAGACTTGAGGCCCCATATTATATTGTTGGTTCTGAAACATGTTCATACCTGGTGTTAATTACGAAAGAGATGCACCCTAAGCGTCATCAGGGTCTGATACGTGTTGCTGACAAATTTAAAGAAGTGGTGGCCTGACCAATCACAGGCTGTGGTCTCCAACAGTGGAGTGATGGGGGGAGAGGAGTTAAGTGCCTGCCCTGTAACTAGAAGGTTGCAGGTTTGAGCCCTGCTTAGTCTGTCACAGTCGTCGTGCCCTTGGGCAAGACACTTCACTCCCCCTCCTTGCCTGCTGATGGTGGTTGCAGAGACTGGTGGTTCCTGTCGGTGCGCCCCAGGGTAGCTGTAGCTTCCATATACCTCACCACCACAGTGTGAGTGGTGGGAGGAGTTGTGAAGTGCTGGTCAGAGCTTCTGATTTTCTAGGTGTGGCTCGCAGCGCTGAGGGAGATGGAGAAGGACCCTTCAGAGCAGCATCTCATCTGTGAAGACCACTTCCTGCCAGAGGACATCTCCAGAAATGGGATCAAGAACGATTCCATTCCCCTCATGCCCCCCTACCTGGATGGACTTCGGAGTCTGATGAGCCCCTGGGTCAGAGAGCCCCTCCAGGAGGAGGAGCAGTGGCTCTCCATGGACTGGGATGGTGATGATGAAGAGGAAGCTTCTGCAGCAGCAGGTCCACCACAGCAGGTCAGGGCTCAGCTTTTGCTGTTAAACAGTTGAAATAACTCCTACATGTTTTAACTGGTGACTAAAGGTCTCCACCGTGTTCTGCAGAACCCAGATGTAGGTCAGAAAGATCCACCAGGACCTCAAACCAGCAGGTAACCTCTGTCCTAGTTTCTATAGGTCACCTGTTGGGTGTCGATAGTTCACGGCTTTACTGTGTTGGGATGTTTTTACAGGGTTAATAATCTTTGTGGTTTATTTGTGCTTCAGTGATTTGCTGAGTCGGAGGGAGACCTCTGGTTTGATCACAGGTGAGTCGGTCTGGATTAAAGGTAATTACAGTTTAGTGTCGATATTCTTCTGTTTATGTTCCACCGGTGTCACCTTAGCACTTGAGTGCTTCACCTTAATATCGATGAGACTTCCCGGGCCTTTCCACCGGACCCGTACACATGGTGTAACGTCTGTGAGGCGTAGCACGCAGCAGATGCCGTCCTAGTGGATGGAGACGTTTCCACCGGCTGTGAAGCGTCACTTTGGAAACGTCCCAGAAGCATAGTGACACGTCACTTACGCTTCGAGTCTACGTTTTACACTCTTTGCTTCCGAAACACGTCAAACTTGGCTGTTCAGATTGGGCCAGACAGGAAGTCAAACATGAGAGCAGTGTAAAGCATTCAGAAACTTTCAAAATAAAAGTCATGTACCAGTTTTCTCTTAACAAGATCGCACCTGTCCGTGGGCCCCAGGGCAGCTCATCCCCACCAGTATGTGTGTGTGAATGACTGATTGTGTTATAAAGCGCCTTGGGGGGTTGTAGCTAAACAAATACAGGCCCATAAAAGATTTAAACTCCAGAACTCATTAAGATAAAACTTGGTGGACTTCAGTGATTCTGCTTGTTTCATGTGAATGTTAGTTTGAATAAATCGGTGTAGCTCAGGGTTGGGGACAGAGGAGAGTCTCCACGTCGTCTCAAAACGTTCTCCAGGGTCCTCAGTTCCCTCCTGTTGAGACCAATCGAGAAAACCGTTCTAGTGGGAAAAGGGAGGAATGTGGGAGGAGTTGGAGACCAGAGTCAGGTTAAACTCCAAAAACATTGAGACAAAGTTGAAATGCTTTCAGATCATTTCACAACTCTCTTTATGAACCAACTCAGAAAGATTCATTCTGAAGATTTTCCCTCAAGTGTCCCGCTGGGAGACCCGCAGGTTCTGTCTCTGACCGTCCCTGGCGTTTGTGTGCAGATACTCCTCTGTCTCTGCTGACTCGGGGTTTCCTGGAGCTGCTGATGGAGTCACCAGACGCCTCTGTGGATATCGTGGAGGTGGAAGCGAGCCTGCAGAGCCCCGCCCACAGAGTCCAGAAAGTCATCAGCATCCTGCGCAGTCTGGGCCTCGTCCAGAAGGAGTCGGAGTGCCGGGTCAAGTGGACGTAAGCCGCAGAAACGTTTACTCTTCATCGGTTATGAAACACCAAGTCTCCGAGGCTTCAGATTCTGGGGATGTTGAAGGGAAAGGCCACGTGTGTTTTTAGTTTAGCGATCAGCTCCATGTACCCCGAGCCCCCGTGGGCCTCGTGATGACGTGTGTTTGTCTCCAGAGGAACCACCTCCATCTTCAGCTTCCTGTGGAGGACTCCTCTGAAGTTCCTGAGCTCTCTGGAGAAGCTGAAGCAGGTGGAGAACCAGCTGGATGGACTCCTCAAAAGCTGCTCCCAGCAGCTCTTTGGCCTTACCGACGACCCGGAGAATGCTCCATATCCTTCATTAGAGGTCGAAGGTCACGGCTCCTGTGGGCCACTGCAGATTAGAAATAACTATCTGCAGCTGTGGGATGAGATTAAGATAGAAATCTCACACAGTCTTAGATTGGGCTCATTTATTGACACGTGTCGGCGAGTCTTCGGCGTGCCTGAAAACACTCACCTGTTCTCTCAGGTGATTAAATCATAAGAAACTCTTCAAAAGCCGCCATACGTTTTTAGCCTGAACATTAAAGGGGTCAAAGAATGCAGTTTATCAGCACTTGAAACTCCCAGTAGCCCTGACACAGGCCACTCTAAACCTCTAAATCAGCCTTGCTGTGAAAAGAGCTGTTGACCCCTCCCACTTGGCCAGGACATGAATATTAATCAACCTAACCCCAAATTTAATGGCATTCACACACACACACCCAATAACATCAGTAAAAATTATATTTTCATATTTTGTTGCGTTCAGATGAGCCAAGTAAGGTAAGGCAAGGAAACGCCATCAGAGGAGCCGTCTGCCCCGGCAGTATCAGGTCTTCCGCAGCAACCAGGTAAGGGTGCCCTACAGGAGGGAGGGCACAGACCCCCACCACCACCCAAGAACTGCCCGTAGAGCCCCCAGGCAGCAACAGTTGACCACCGCCCCTGGGGCAGAGGTCCCCCACAGAGGAAACACTGGAATAAAATGAGTAAAAATACAAGAGCTAATATAAATGATAAAAGTTAGAAAAGTCATATATAAAATCATATGAAGAGTAAAATAATATCATTAAATGATGAAACGATGCTAAAAAAGAATCATGTAAAATGACTAAATAAAACTATAATCAGTTCAAAGCTAACCTAAAGAGGTGGGTCTTCATCCTGCACTTCTGCGACCCTGAGGTTCTCCGTCAGCTCGTTCCAGAGGCGAGGGCCATAAAACCGGAAGGACGCGTCTCTGTGAGTGTGTGTCCTGACATGGTGATGTACGGCGGTGTATCCGGTTTACTGTGAGACTGCCACGCCCTAACCTGAGCGTCTGTTTGAGACCTGTCAAACGGGGTTTTACTGGTTTTAACCGATTTTAGCATTGCTAACATTTTATAACTTTTTATCGACGGACGTTTTAACGAGTGCAGCCAGCCAGTTGTCATTGGAGCTCGACTGCTTCCACCTGCGCCTCTGATGACAGCCCTGGGTGTGTCGGCTGTGTGAGGCTGAGCCTAACGAGCTGCGTGCTGATTGGTTGGTTTAAGCCAGAAGCCCTCAGACACTGGAGGCTGCTGATTGGAGGAGGAAGGGCTCCAGTTGTGATGCTTTTGTGAGAGGTTTCTGTTTTTAAACTTTCTCATTTACACAAAAAGTAGGTCGTACACGGTTGGGACCTTTTGGCGTGCTACCTTTGACCACCCAAGCTGTCTTTAGTCACAAACCACAAGAAAATGTTGGTTTAGATTCTTTGTCCCCTTTGAAGTCTGAATCTGTTTGTGACGGATCAGCAGAACAGTTCTACTAAAGACAGAAGGAAGTAGTTTTATTCCAGAGTCTGAAGAGAAACCGGGAACGCTGTCTCAGGAGCATTTTAAGACCTTTATCCTTAACTTTTCTTCACGTTGGCCTACGTGACGATCCAGGACGTCGCTCGTCTGGAAGACTTCCAGGATCAGACGCTGATTGCCATCCGAGCTCCGTCAGAGACCAAACTCAACATTCCTCCTCCTGATAAGGTACCAGAGGTCTGGATCCAGCCGGGCCGCTCTGCTGTCATTCACTTCCTGTTTTTATCCTTGAGAAAAATCCAAGTTTTTTCTGTCTGATAATCCATTTATTTCCCATCTAGAGCTGGTTCTGAAGGTGTTTGGTTCTTGTTTCTTCCCAGAAGGAGACCCGGATGCATCTGATGTCGTGCAACGGTGAGATCAGGGTTCTGACCTGTGACTTAGGCTCAGGAGGCCCTTTGACCTCTGACCCCAAAGGCAGCAGCGGGGAGTTCACGACGCTGGAGAGGAGTCGGGTCAAGACGTACTTGCTCCACCGAGGTAATGGGAAAGCATCTACCCCCACCAGCGGTGTATTGCTAAGGGGTTCCGTTACGGATCAGAACCGAGACTTGATGCTGTCGACCCACAGATGAGTCATGTCTGACGTCAGTACCCACATGGTCCTGGACTGGATTTAAAGTTGCTCGGTTGGAGAACCGCCATAAAATAAATGATTTTGTGAGCTGAACCAGTGGCCAGAGCTGGACAAGGACCAGAAATCGGTATCGGCCTTGGAGACTATCCGTCAAAAACGCTAAAATCTTCTTTTTACAGCCCCTGATTTATAATCAGACCTGTTTTAGTTTGTTTTTCTGCCTTTATGAAAACTAAAAGTATAAAAGAAGAAAACGGCGTAGTGGTTTCATCTGGAGTCATTTAAGAGAAACGTTCCGGGTTTATTCCCACCATGATGAGGAAGAGAAGGCAGATCCAGGCATGGAGCGTCAAAAAGCTCCAGGCAATCAAAGGGTGACGATTTTTGACCAGATTATTAGCTAACGGTCTTCTTCCTGTGTGTGTGTTTGTCTTCTAGTCCGGCCCACCATTTCAGTCAACAATGCAGGAAGTGGGATAAAGTGGAAAACTAGAAAACCAGAGAACATTGGACTGCGGTGCCAATCGACCGTCTGTGAGAAGTCTGCTAAGCTCCAGTGCAGCTCCTTCAGAGAGGTGGATAGAGAGTGGATCTTCAGGAACTTCTGGGATGTGCTGAACTGGGACCAGCGGATTCAGGTCGTACGCAGCCTAGTGGACGTTGTCCCCGTCCAGAGGAGACCGGGAGCCGTGCCCGGCAGACGGGAGTTCACTTTTCATTTCAACCTGAGACATGGTGAGCAGAGACGGAGGGTGTGTAAGGTTCTGTTCCTGGCCACGCTGGGAGTCAATGAGTGGTTCGTCCTGAAATGGGTCCAAGGAAAATCCAAAAGCAAAGGAAAACCAGATCACGACACTAAGCAGGAATGCAACCCTACAGGAGAAAGAATGGAGATGATTCCAACTGAACCTTCAGCACAGATGCTGTGATCCGGGATTCCAAGGCCAATACCGGTCTCCAGCTTCAGATTAACTGTATCCTACCGATCCGGGTTTCCAGGGCCAATACCGGTTTCCGGCTTCAGAACTACTGTATCCTACCGATCCGGGTTTCCTGGGCCGATACCGGTCTCAAACTTCAGAACTGCTGTGTCCCACCGATCTGGGTTTCCTGGGCCGATACCGGTCTCAAACTTCAGAACTGCTGTGTCCCACCGATCTGGGTTTCCTGGGCCGATACCGGTCTCAAACTTCAGAACTGCTGTGTCCCACCGATCTGGGTTTCCTGGGCCGATACCGGTCTCAGGCTTCAGAATTGCTGTGTCCCACCGAGCCGGGTTTGTCTTTAACATGGTGTTTTATTGATTTTGTAAGTAAGAACTTCCGCATGGGCGGTGTGTCGTTTCGGTGGGGGGGGGGGGATCGGCACAATCAGCTGGTCAGTATTAAAACTGACCGATACCAACCTGACTGGTTTCTTCGGTGCATTTCCACTGGAGGCGTGTCAGACTGAACCCAGTTCCTCGGCCCGGGAGTCTCCTATCGTTATATCCATGTAAACGCTCCACAGGAAGTAAACCAGGTCTGAAACCCAGTTTCACAGCTGCTTACCTGTCTGAGTCAGGAAGCAGGTGGATGGACTGTTTCAAATGTGGAAGGAGTCTGTCTCCGCAGTAGCAATGCATCATGGGAAGGAAGGATGGGGAAAGACTGCAGTGGGACCGATGTGAGCGGGTTCTGATCCTGAAAATTAGTTTTTTGTATTTTAAATAAAAAGTTCTAAAACACAGAGGTCCATGTTGCTGTTTGTTCTGGTCTCCCAGTGGGGTGTACCTGGAAAAGAGGGTTTCCAGGCACATCCCACTGATGTGGCTCCATTCATCTGGAATGTTAACATTTATAATTACACCTAAAACGGGAAGTGATGTCACCAGATCAGAGCTGGTAACCTTCAGCCAGCAGGGGGCAGCAGAGAGCCGGCTCCGATGGTGTCCACCTGGAAGCCAGTCCAGGACATTCCCCACCCCTCATCCCTCTACCTGGAATGTAACTTCAGGAATGACACGGGACCGCTTACAGGTGAGAATCATAAACATCAACACTAACCGGATCTCAGTGCAAGAATTCCTTCTGTTGGGATTTTGTGGAATAATTGGATCTGATGGTAAAACTGACTTCCCTATGCAGCAGAAGTTAAATGAGGAGGAAATCCTTGAAGGTGTGGTTTACTCAGACCTCCTCCTCCAGGATCTGAAGGAGGATCCTGGGAAAACACAACGTTCCCACTCAGGCTGAAGAGGGAGAACCAGACTGGAGCTTGCTGCTGCGGGTGAGTTTTGTTTTCCTGTTTTTATGTTCCAGAGGCGATCCCGTGTTTCCTTACGGAGTTTCTGTAGACGAGAGTCTGGATCGTTCCGTTAATGCTCCTGCTGGGGCTGAGTGACTTTCCCTCTCCTTCAGGATCATTTTCCTGCTCCGTCCGGCTCTGAGATGTTTTCCTGTTGCTCCACTCCTTTTGTGGTTTTATGTTGAAACGCTGACAGAAAAACCTTCCTTGGAGTCTCTTATCCTTTTGGTCTTCATCCTGACCAGATCACATGGCTTCCCTGAATTGAATGTTGTGGGAATGCTGGTACCTGGTTATCAAACAGGTGACAGGTTGGGTTTTAGGGTAGAAGGACCATTTTCAGCTGGTTAACACATTTAGGAGAGCTGAATCTGACGGTCGTCCCCCGGATCGGTCCAGCTGTGGTTCTGGAATACTAGAGTTGATTAAAAATGTTTTATTGATAAATGATTGAAGAGTCATCGGTTTCATTCCTCTGGTCCTTCATGTGGCTGCTTGGGTGGTTTCTTCTGACCAGATCTGAGCGGCACTTTGGTTTCACACAAAATATTTATTATTCCATTTTAATATCAGAGGTCAGAGCCAGCTAAATTATTGACTGGGGCTCAAATACCAGATTTTATTGACGGTCCATGAACGCATCCTTACCCAGCAGCAGTCTTCGGATTAGCGCTAACGGAAGCTAGCAAACGGACGTTTTGGGTCTTTAGTCTTTGAACTACCCTCACCATTGGTGTGCTTCCAGAATCTAATTATAGAAAATAATAATCTGTTGGTTGTAATTTGGTTTGGTTGAGAAAATTGGTATCGGCATGTCAGCGCTGAACCAGGTCATCAGAACTGCTGCATCTCCACTGGAGCTTTCACAGTACTAGGAATTTCCTTTTGCAAAATTGTGCACAAGCACAAAATTAGTCATATGGCGGAGATAAAAAAGAATTTTGATATTGCCCTAATTCTTCCCTTTTTTGTCTTGCGCCCCCATGAAAATATACTGGCCCCACTGTGGCCCCCTGGAAAATTTGGTCTAGAACCGCCCCTGATCTCCAGTCTAAACAGAAATGGCTGTTTTTCATCTCCTGAATGTTTGTTACAAACGTGGACCCGACATCCCGGCCCGATGTTCCCTCAGAAATCAGAATTTCCTGAAAAGGAAAGAATTCTGTTTTCCAGGTCTGGACAGGTGTTTCTGTTTACATATCCTAACGAGTTTTTCATAAAGCTTTTAAAATCGTTACTCAAAGCAAACTAGCCTTTCAGCCTGGAGCATCCTCTTGGTTTCCATGGTTACACCTTACAAACGTTTCTGCTGACAGACCAGAAAACGTCTTTCAGGAATGTAAACAAACCTGGAGCGTGTTTGTTTAGGCGTTTCCTCGCCTGCTGGGTTTGTGGTTGTTTGGTTTGTAATGCAAGCCACCCCGGTGGGACCCGCTCGGACACTGCTCGCCTGTGTCCACCAGAACCACAAAGACCCATGTTCCTCCCTCAGTGGGCATTCTGAGCCTCACATGTGTTTAACGTGAGTTTCAGTCCCAAGAAAATAAATGTTCTGGAGGAACCTGGAACTGAAACCTGGTGTGTTTCAGGTCGGGTTCTGCTGTTGGAACCAGAACAATGTTCCTCTCAGAAATAAACTTTCTTCAAGCTAAATTCAAAAGATTCTGATCAATACCCACAATGCCTCAGTGATCAGTGTGACATCAGGTCACCTGTTCCCAGCAGGTGGGTTCTGCTGGGATCAGATTCCACCACAGATGTTAAATCTGGACACAAACATCTGTTTTCATACTCGTTAAAGAGTCGCTGAGTCGAACCTACCCGGTTTGTTAGTCGTTAACGAGCGCAGAGTCGAACCTACCCAGTTTTCTTTGATTAGTTTTTTAACAAAACTTGCTATTTCACAAAAGTCTGTTTAACACGTCTCTGGTGATGTGTTTTGTTTAGGGAACGGATAAAAGATCCTGTTATTTCCTGCAAACGAGCATCTGAATTAGAGAGTAGACACACACGCACGCACACACACACACACACACACACATCCCTGATTACTCAGAGGAAACTAGCGGTTCGGATCATAATGAGTTTTTTTTTTCAGCCCAGAGTTATAATTTCAGGAGTCTTCAGTCTGCAGAGGCGTGTGTGTGTGTGTGTGTGTGTGTGTGTGTGTGTGTGTGTGTGTGTGTGTGTGTGTGTGTGTGTGTGTGTGTGTGTGTGTGTGTGTGTGTGTGTGTGTGTGTGTGTGTGTGTGTGTGTGTGTGTGTGAGATGACAGGATCTCTATGTAAAAACATCTAACTACACGTAACTAAATTCTTCTCTGCCCAGATTTCTTTGATCTTTTTCTGAAACGGTGACTCAGCAGATTTTGTTTTATTTCTGAGGAAAAGACGATGATCATGATTTTAGGTTTTTCACTTCCAATGAATAACTGTTGATAATAGATTCATGTCTTCATGGTCGTTCAGCTAAAACCAACCTGAGAGCTTATACACACACACACACACACACACACACACACACACACACACCACACACGCGCACACACGCGCACACACTCTCATACACACTCACGCACACACTCTCTCTCTCTCTCTCACACACACACACGGCTGATCTCAGAACAGTTTCCAGACAAAACCCAACAGCCAATCAGGATCCTTGTTTCCTTTAACAGCTGCTTTTAATTATTCACATAATACTCTCTCTCTCTCTCTCTCTCTCTCTCTCTCTCTCTCTCTTTCTCATTTTCTCTCTCTTGCTTTCTCTCGTTTTCTCTCTCTCCCACTGTCTCTCTCGCTGTCTCCCTCTCCCCTCATCATAATAAACTGCCTCGCCCGCCCATGTCACACAGCCCAACATGTCATCATTATTGTATGTGTGTGCATGTGCACGTGTAAGAGAATAGGCGTTCCGTGTTCAGATTAAACGTTCCTGAATCCTGCAAGTCGTCTCGTCTTTGGTTACTTCTGGGTGATTCTGTGTTCCTACGACTCTTACTAAAGAGGATTAGCAGACACTGGAAAACGTGTATCTAGTGATCCAGTTTTCCATATCCTGACATGTCTTTCCATCCCTCCCTGTCTCTCCGAGTCTTCCCAGTAATCTCTCCTGATTACCTTCAGGGTTCATTTCAAGATCCTGGTTCTGGTCTATAGGGCCTTACATGGACAAGAACCATCTTACATTGGTGATCTTCTCAGTCCCTACACCCCCAGCAGGTCCCTGAGGTCCAGTGACCAAAGCCTACTGGTTGTGCAGCATCAAGCTAAAGGTCAAAGGTGACAGATCATCTGCTGCTGTGGCCCCCAGACTCTGGATCTCTCTCCCCCGAGCCTGAGACCAGTGGACTCGGTGGTCTCCTTTAAATTCACCTGTTCAGGTTTGGTGGGACCTTCATCACCTCCCTCTCCTTGTTCTGCTCTTATTCCGCCTTTCCCAGATCCGCTGATTTCCCTCTTTCCTGTTCACTTTCTCTTTTTTCCCTCATTTAAAACATATTTTTCATCATTTTTAAAATCTTTAATACTTGGATTAATTTTTTGGGTGATTTTTATCTTGAGGCGCCTCATAAAAGATCGTTTTGTGTCTTTGAGTTCTGGTTCTGCTGCCGTTTGGTGTCCCAGAGACGTTCCGTCCTGTCTAGCGGTTCTGGGGCAGTTCAGAATGGATCTGACCAATTCCTGGTTTCACATTAAGGACATTTTTAAGCTAACTTCATGTGGAAAATCTGAGTGAACCCATTTAGGGAACTTTTAGAATAAAAAAATAATAATTTCTAATAGAAACAATAAAGCCTGAAACAGAGAACCTGATCCAAGATGGCCACCACAGCGGAACGATCACGTCAGTCGGCACCGACGACACGATCTGTTAAAATCAGGATTTTACCAAAACAACTTCAATTCCATCATTTCCCAACATCGGATCATTTTAGTTTGGACCTCTAGATGAGGAACGTCCGCAGTTCCTCGTGATTCCTGAATCGACTCCTGGTTTAACTGGAAGTTTAATGACTGATTCATTTAAATTCTCCAGGACAAAGTCACAAAAGTTCCAGACTGCTGGAAAAGTTTCCTTGTTTAGTTTGTTTTCCAGTTTTCCTCCTCGTTGTGTAACCAGAGAATTCCTCACTGTGGTTTCTGCTGGGAATTACAGAATAACTCTGGATTTAACGGGTTTGTTGTCGTGCAGAAACTCAGATTCATCACAATTCCTGATCTTAAAGTTTTCGTTTAGCACAAGTCCAGCTGTACGGTTCGGGTTGCTGTTTGGTGTTTGGATGAGTCTGTCCCGGTGCCGAGCTGAACCAGGAGCATAGTGAGGTGTTTTAAACCCAGCGGCGTTGTCGGGTCGGGCCGGGTCGCTGACAGCAGAACAGGAAGCGTGTGACGGGATGTTGGACCCCTCTCAGGTGTTGGATGTGAAATCGGTGCGGCATTGGTGTGTTGCTGACGTCTCGTTGTTTCCCAGCAGAGGGAATTTCCTGCTGCAGCCAGATGTTGTCCTGCAGGAAGTCGCTGCTGTTAAAAATAAAGCTGCTGTTGTGTTTCAAGATTCCAGGGAACGCTGGAGGCTGCAGACGTGTTCTGATGTTTCTACTTTATCCAACATGGGAATGCTATCTGGGTCTTTATGGATACACAAGAGAACCTAGGGAAAACTGGGAAAGGTTTGTTCCACACCCCTCTACAGGAGCGCGAGGCGCTGGACGCGGCAAATAAAAAGTAGAACGCAGTAGAATGAATAAAAACACGGATCAGGAACGATGACTGACCCAGCCCAGAAAAATGGGAATAATAAAACATAGAAAGGAAACACAACTGAGAGCCAATCCCAGGATGAGCGAGTCTGGTAGGTTTGGTTCTGGACCAGGAACACTGGACTGTGTCTGGGTCCAGCTGTTAGCCCACATCAGCATCATTTCCTTTGATTCTGCTCACAAACCTCGGCCTTTTGTCTCCGGTTTGTTTTCCACCTCAG